GAATTTCCTGACAGGGAGAACCATTAATCAGTGGAACATCTTCTCCCTGGAAGTTGTAGATGCGTTTTTAAGAAGAGATTAGACAGCCCTTTGTCTGAATTGGTATAGGATATTTGGAATAGATTCTCCGGCTCAAGCAGGGGGTTGGACTAGAAGACCTCTAAGGTCCCTTCCAACTCTGTTATTCTGTCACTTCTTGAAAACCTCCCGTGTTGGGGGCACTCACAACTTCTGGAGGGAAGTCATTCCACTGGTTAGTGGTTCTGTCAAGAAATTTCTCCTTAGTTCAAAAGGTTGCTTGATGCGCTTCCCGCCATTTGTGTGCTCAGGTGCTCTAGGACCCCATAGAACAACAGAGTTGGAAGGGACTTTGAAGGTCATCTAGTCCAACCCCCTGCTCCAGCAGGAGACTCTATTCCAAATATTAGCCTCTACCTAGCATCGAACTCACCGTCTCCTGATTGTGAGGCAAGAGCTCCACCTCTAAATGCCACCGGAGCTGCGTTTTGGAGAAGGGATTGTGTTGTGGTCCGCTGGCAGCAGGTGCGGATGGCTGAGGTCTCGGAGAGCGAGGACTTGGATGAGGGGCCTGCGTGTGGTGCAGGGATGGGGCCAGGACCATCAGGGAGTGGAATGCGGCCTTTGGAGATTGTGGAGGCTGGCAGCAGTGAGGAAGAGGCCCCCGAGGAGCCTGTGCCCAGTGCGTGTGCACGCAGGGCTGCTCGAAGAAAAAAGCAGCTGCAGCAGCACGGGTGACTCGGGAGTAAGGCTGCAAGGTGATGGCCCCTCCCTTAAGAGATAAAAGCCAGCTGAGAAAGCGGAGTTCTTTGCAGGAAGCAAAGAAGTTTTTGCACTCAAGCCTTGTGGATGTTCAGAGTATCTTGGTTGGTGTTTGGAGACTCTTTGTGTTTGAAATATTTCTTGGCAACTTTATCTAGTGTTCTTGGCAGCCTTGCACCACCTTAGCAAGGCTTGTTCTTATCAATGAGTTTGAAACAGCCTTTTAACCGGGAAGGAACGGAATTCGTAAAGAATCGTTAAAAGGTTTTGCTTTTATCTCTGTTTGGTGTTTGTTTACTTAGAACAAGGTTTGGGTCAGAACAGCTTAGCAAGGCAGATGTTAGATGCCCCGTTTTATACCTTTTCTTGCTGCGGTTCTTAAGTCACCCGGTTGTTAAGTGAATCCGCCTTGTCTTTGCCTGTCGGAAAGTCTCAAAAAGCGTGACCCAAGGGACACTGCATCTGTCATAACTACGAGTCAGTTGCCGTGTGTCCGAACATTGACTAGGTGTACTGCCATGGTTGTAATCGTGAAAAATGGTCCTGTCCCTTTTTTCAGCGCCCTTGTAACTTCAAACTGTCACTAAACGAATGGTTGTAAGTTGAGGATTACCTATATTTTACAGCAGCCCTTAAGCGAATGTGGCATCTGTTAGGTGCAAAATGTCACGGTTGTGTAAGTGAGCCTGTTGCTGTCTATGGTTGGCTGTGGCTGGAAGTGCCAACCTGCCGCTAAACTGTTTTAGGACAGAGGTCCTATGGGGGCCCCACCATCAGAATGTCAGATCTTGATAACAAACCCCCCCCCCCCCTTTTTAAGGTAGGTTGTAACTTTGAACAATTGCTAAGCCACCAGCTGTAAGTTGAGGACTTAATTGTAGACTGGTTTGTAACCCCCAACCCCCCCAAAAAAGCATTTAACATAGTATACACACCCCTCCCCTCCCCCGAATTGCTATCTAAGGGTGGGGATTTTGGGGGGGATCCTAGAGATGCTTAGAAAGAGTTGAAGACTCCCAAGAAAAAGTATTCAATAAATAAAAGGGAAGATAAATTCAGGAAATGATCAAACCAAAAAGTGAAAAGAAAAAAAAAAGTGAAAAAGTGAAATCTGATTTCCACCACCACCAACCCCCCCCCCCCCCCCCCCCCCCCCCCCCCCCATTTCGTGGCTCAGTTCTGCTTCTTAAGGACCGTTTCTCGTGTGTGGGTTGTGTGTGTGGGTTGTGTGTGTTCGCGCTGAGCAAAATTTAAACAGAAACTGACTTGCCCTCCCCTCCCGATTCTCCTTCCGCAGACCGAGTGCTTCAACTTCATCCGCATCCTGGTTCAGCTGAACAAGACCCACCTTTACACCTGTGGCACCTACGCCTTCAGCCCCACCTGCGCCTACATCGTGAGTCTTCCGGGAAGCAGCGGAATGGATCTTGCGGGGGCCGCCCCTGTTTACTCACAAGCCACTTTTATTGTTATTGTTATTTTCCCCCACGTATAAGTACACGACGGGCCCCGAGTGGAAGGCAGAGGGGTCGTTTTGGTGGCAAAGGAGGGGGTCCTCTCTTTCCCCACACATGGGAGACCCTTGAAATGCAAAAAAAAAGGGGGGGGGGCAGTTGCTTGGCCTGGCATTCCTTCCAGTATTTACTAATTATAAGCCCAAGTTCATTGCATTCCTTGGCAGAGTTTGGAAGCAGGGTTAGTTCCAGGCCAGGAATGCATGCTTCTGTGGCCTACTTCTGGCCTTTTATTTATTTTTATTTCTTAGATTTTTATCCTGCCTTTATTACTTTATAAACAGCTCAAGGCAGCAAGCATGCCTAATATTATTTTCTATTTTCCCCACAACAACGACCCTGCGAGGTGGATTGGACTGAGAGACGGAGTGGCCCAAACATCACCCAGCCGGCTTTCTTGTCTCAAGCGGGACTAGAACTCGCTGGTGCCAGCATATGCATTCACCTCTGCAGTCAGCTGGCATGCCAAGGGTCACGGTGTGGGGGAGCCCGATTGAACTAACCTCGGGTTTGCCCAGTTCAATTGTCCCCCATGGATTTCACGGTCTCCCTTCTGTCCCGCTCGGGACGACAGTGTGGTAGCAACCTGTCATGCCTCTGTCGGAATCCGAGGGGAAGGCCGAGCAGCCGACAGGAAGTGGGAGTGGGGCTCTGTTGGCTGTGGAGGAAACTGGGGAAGGGCAAAGTCCAGCTGGGCAGAGCAAGGGGAGAGGGAATTCAGAGGAAGATCTAGGCCCACGGGTGGGATTCTACCGGTTTGCACCTATTCGCTAGAGCCGGTTGTTAACCTTCTAAGCAGTTCGGAGAACCGGTTGTTAGAAGAAATGACTGGGCTAATCCTGTAAGGAAGGCAGGAAGGAAACATTCTGGTGTTGCTTACAGAAACTGCCTCTCCGTTAGCCCTTATTACATTCTTGGCAGGACTAGACTTCCTGTCTCTGGAACTTCTCTGGAGTTTTTCCCCCCTCCTTTGCTGGTACTTTGCTTGTGTGGAGTGACCATTCAAAGTTACAATGGCACTGAAAAAAGTGACTTATGACCCTTTTTCACACTTACGACTGTTGCAGCATCCCCACAGTCACAAGAGGCCAGGCGAGGAGATGCGTGCCTCGATGGGAGTGATACTGAGTTGGGCACGCCCAGCCAATAACATGACCACCCAGTCACATGACTACCAAACCACGCCCACCACCTAAGCCACGCCCACAGAACCAGTTGTTAAAATTTTTGAATTCCCCCCCTCCCCCCCCATCTAGGCCCACCCGCTCTTCATCCTAGAGCATGCAGGGAGGAACGGAGTAGGGAGCAGCGTGGGTTACGTGGCTTACAGGGGAGGAAAGGGCCCTGATTCCCTTCCTTAGCTGCAGCTGGGAAAACCTGTGTTTAAAAAGGGAAGTTGCGTGCCGCCAGCTGTTGGGAGCAAATTGTGGGTTATTTTTTATTGTCGAGGCATTGTGGGGGTGGGGCGCTGTGGAAGGCAGGGAGGGCCTGCCCTGCCTGTTCCTTGGGGGAGATATTTCCCTTCACTCCCCCATCTTTTCTTGCCTTGCCAGGACGTGGAGAATTTCACGCTGGTGGCCGATGCCAAAGGGCAGCCCCTCCTGCAGGAAGGCAAAGGGCTCTGCCCCTTCGACCCGCGGCACCAGAACACGGCGCTCATTGTGGGTGAGCAGAGGGGGGCACCTGGGGGGGAGCCGGGGGGAGGGAAGGCCCTGGGGAGATGTTGAGACTTTGGAAAAAGTTCAGAGAAGAGCAACGAAGAGGATCGAAGGCCTGGAGACTCAAAATGTATGAAGCACGGCTGCAGGTTTGGGGTCTGGTTAGTCCAGAGAAAAGAAGAATTAGGAGCGATATAACACTAGCCCTTAGGCTTATATACCGCTTTATAGTGCTTTCCAGCCCTCTCTTTACAGAGTTTTACAGTTTACAGAGCCAGCCTCTCGCCCCCCACAACAATCTGGCGCCTCATTTTACCCACCTCGGAAGGACGGGAGGCCGAGTCGACCTGGAGCCTGAATGGGATTCGATCTGCCGAATTGCAGTGGGGGGGCTAGCTTGCAGTACTGCACTCTAACCACTGCACCACCGAGGCTCCTTATGATATGATAGCGGCCTTCCCAGTATTTGAGGGGCTGCCCCAAAGAACTGGGGGCGTCCAATTGTTCTCCAAAGCACCAGAGGGCAGGACAGGAAACCGTGGATGGAAACTAACCCCAAAGAGAAGCCACCTGGAATGAAGGAGAAACGTTAACAGTGAAGGCAATTAGCCAGTGGAACCGCTTGCCACCAGAAGTTGTGGGCGCCCCATCCCTGGAGGTCTTCAAGAAGAGATTGGACGACCCTTTGTCTGGAATGGTGGAGGGTCTCCTGCTTGGAAACTAATCCAGGAGAGACCCGACCTAGAACTAAGGAGGAATTTCCTGTCAGTGGGGACAATTAGCCAGTGGAACCTCTTGCCACCAGATGTTGCAGCAGCTCCAGCACTGGAGGTTTTAAAGAAGAGACTGAACTGCCATTTCTCTGAAATTAGTATAGGTTTTTCCTGCTTGAGCAGGGGGCTGGACTAGAAGACCTCCCAGGTCCCTTCCAGATTTCTATTCTGATTCTCACACCTCGCAGCCCGTTTTTTTTCCGAAAGACGCACGGATCCTTTCACACAGCTTCCCTGACCCCTTGCCCGACATCAGTTCTTGATCTCTCGGATCCCAAGGCTCTACAGTGCTGGGGATTCTGGGGGGTGTAGTCCAGCCCAGGAGGATGGGCAGGCTGTCATTTCAGAAGCTGGCCTGGCCGGGGGGCGGGGCGGGGGGGGGGGGGCCGGTGGCCTTCACATGGGGGGGTCTGTGCCGTAGAGCAGGGGTCTCCAACCTTGGTGACTTTAAGCCTGGTGGACTTCAACTCCCAGAATTCCCCAGCCAGCAAAGCTGGGGATGAGGGGGCCAAAGAGGAGGAGAAGACAGAAGACGGGAGTTCCTGCCATCAGGCTCAGGGTCCTAAGATGGAGCCTGCTTCCTTGGTTTGGAGACCCTCCCTCTATTCATGCCCCACGTGTTTATAGAATAATTGAATAACAGAGTTGGAAGGGACCTTTTGGGGGTCTTCTAGTCCACCACCCCCTACTCAAGCAGGAGACCTTGTTGCATCTCGGATAAATGGCTGTCCAGTCTCTTCTTAAAAGCCTCCAGTGATGGAGCATTCACAACTTCTGGTGGCAAGCAGTTCCACTGGTTAATTGTTCCCAATGTTAGGAAATTTCTCCTTAGCTCCACGTTGCTTCCCTCCTGGATTAATTTCCATCCTTGTTGCTTCTTGTCCTGCCCTCTGGTGCTTTGGAAAATAGGTTGGACCCCACCCCCCTTTCTTTGGGGCAGCCCCTCAAATACTGGAACACCGCTATCCTGTCGCCCCTGATCCTTCTTTTCATTAAACTAGACATACCCAATTCAGCAACCATTCTTCCTATGTTTTAGTCTCCAGTCCCCTAAACCCCTCTTGGAATAGCTTCTATCAGCTGCTACTCTATTTTTTTTTTCTTACTGTTATTTATAATTCTTTTTTTGCTCCCCAATTTTTTTTTAAAATAGTTAAACAATAATTTCATCTTTCATTCGACTGGGTGCATGTATCTTGTGCTAACAATCATAATTCATATTTTTAACCAATATAACAATACTGACATTTTCTTTGTAAATCATAAATCATTTTCTCTTATATATTTGTTATCTTGATAACCACCTTAACTAATTTTTTTTATATATCCATCTACTCAATTGTAACTTTTTTTATTTTCTAACCATCGATAAAACAAATCCCATATCATATAATATTCAGTTTCTTCTTTTTCTTTAATTTCCAGGGTTAGTCGATTCATCTCTGCCCATTCAAATATTTTCTCAAATCGCTTTTTCCCTCCGCTGGTGTTTTATCATTTTTCCAATTCCGCGCAAATACAATCCTAGCTGCTGGTTATTTATAATTCTTTATTGTCCGTTTAACGGGCTTCTGCGTACGCTTTCTCTCAGCAGCCTATAATCATGGGCTTCATTTTCAAGTTTTGACATTTTATTTATTCATTTGTTAAGTTTATACGCCCTGCCCTCTCACTTTTGAGCGGCCCTGGAGGAGAGTTTATCCTGCACAAAACGGGGTTTTGTTTTCGTGCCTCCCATGAAGCTTTGCGGTGATGAAAAGCAGGCAGGGAGGATTGCAAGGGGGGGCCCCACCTCACGTTCTGCTTTCTCTCCCCCCCCCCCCCCCCCCAGATGGAGAGCTCTACACGGGCACCATGAATAACTTCCAGGGCAACGAGCCGGTCATCTCTCGGACCCTGGGCAGCCGGACTGTTCTGAAGACGGACGGCTTCCTCACCTGGCTGCACGGTGAGGGCAGACACGGGAGGGGGAGGGGGGGGAGCAGGCAGAGGGGGAAGGGTCTTAGCCCCTCCCACGGTCGCCTCCATCGTTTGGGGACTGGCTGTCGTCTTGGCAACCGAGACCTGGTGGGTACCAGGAGAAACGCATCTCCTAAGCAACGGATGCTTCTGTTGGGGGCCCAAGCCCCCCCCCCCGTGAGTGTGTGGGTGTGTGTGTGTCTGTCTGTCTCTCTCTCTCTCTCTGTGCATAGATTCTCAACCATCCAGGTCATGGTTGTCCCTTTTTTCCAAAAGGCAGCTGGACTTTCTTGGTTTTCTTTTTCCTTGCAACTATTTCACTTCTTTTATCCGAGAAGCTGCTTCAGTTTTGAAGAACTGAAAACAAAAAACCCTAGAGAAAGCAAGGAAGTCCAGTTGCCTTTTGGAAAAAGCCACCTTTGCTATGGAGTCTGACTCCGAGGGGGAGGCCGAGCAGCTGACGCGGAGAGGGGCTCCGCTGGCTGTGGAGGAAACTGGGGAAGGGCACAGAAGGGCTGGGCCTTCAGAGGAAGACCCAGCTCCAAACCCTCTTCATCCTAGGGCACGCAGGGAGGAACGGAGAAGGGAGCAACGTGGCTTACGGGAGAGGAAAGGGCCCTGATTCCCTTCATTAGCTGCCGCTGGGAAAACAGGATTTAAACAGGGCGTTTGCGCACAGCACCTGGCTGGAAGCAAAGCGTGTGTTATCGTTGTTCGTCGAGTCTTATCTGAGTTCTGGCGTCCTCCCAACTGTGTGTGTTTTGTTATCTTTTGAAGTCTGCAATTCCTTGTCCTGCCCTGTCTCGTTGATTGCTGCAGCGTGGTTTGTGTTGGTTTTTTTCCAGCCGATGATAACTGGACACTGGGGACCAAGTTGGAGGAATTAAAGGGACTTTGCCTACTTTTGTGACTGTTGCTGTTGTGCCACACCCCTTTGGGTCTTCACACTGTGGGTGTGCGTGTGTGTGTGTGAGAGAGAGAGAGAGTGTGTGTCAGTCGCTCTGTGTCTGTGTGAGAAGGGATGGAGGAGAAGCTGACTGTTGTTGTTTGCACAGACGATGCTGTGTTCGTGGCCTCGTTCAACGTCCCGGGGCCCCCGGAGGAGGAAAAGATCTATTTCTTCTTTGAAGAGACAGCGAAGGAATTTGACTTCTTTGAGAAACTGACCGTGTCCCGTGTCGCCCGGGTGTGCAAGGTGAGAGGCTCCCCCCTGTCCTCCATTCGAGCCGAGGCTCAGCCGGGCGCCTGGGCCGAGAAGGCTGAGGCTGGAGAGACCAAGACCTTCGTTAGGGCAAGCACGGAGTCCTGCCGTTTGCAAGGCGGAGAAACAGCGTCGCCCTGCGGACTCAGGTCCGGCCTTAACCGTCGTATCTTCCGCTCAAACCAGTCAAGTCTAGTGGTGGCCTCCAGGAGGGGCTAAGGAGAAGTCCACAGCCCCCCAAAACAGGCCACCCAATTGCTGCCGGGAACCGTGGGCCCAGCCTGAGAGGGTCTTTCTCCGCAGAACGACGTTGGCGGGGACAAGGTCCTCCAGAAGAAGTGGACCACCTTCCTGAAGGCCCAGCTCTCGTGCAGCCAGGCGGGGCTCTTCCCCCACACCGTCCTCCAGCACGTCTTCGCTCTCCCGCAGCCGGGCGGCGGCTCCCTCTTTTACGGGGTCTTCGCTTCTCAGTGGTAAGAGGCGGGGCGGTTTGCACGGGTGGGGGGGGGGGGGGGGAGGCGGCCCCCCGGCAGCCACGGGGGAGTCTGAAGCCTGCCCCATAAGGCCGGGGTCAGTCTCCAACCGGGGCAGCTGGACGACTTGCCGGCTGAGGAACCCCAGGGGTTGAGGCATGTGCAGAGGGCTTTTGGGATGGCTGAGGTGCAGCTGGCCTGTCCGTTCGCCCCCCCTCCCCCCCCCCCCCCCCCCGCAGGCAGACTGGGAGCTCCGGCAGCTCAGCCGTCTGCGCCTTCAGCCTGGACGCCATCGAGAAGGCCTTTGCCGGCAAGTACAAGGAGCTGAACAAGGACTGCTCCCGATGGATGACCTACAGTGGCCCCGCCATGGACCCCCGGCCTGGCAGCGTGAGTGTCCCCCCCTCTGGAGGGGAGGGTGCGGGGGTGCCCTGGGTCTCGCCTCCTGACCGTTGTCCCCCCCCCCGCTTCCCTCCAGTGTTCGGTGGGCCCCTCGTCCGACAAAGCCCTGACCTTCATGAAGGACCATTTCTTGATGGATGAGAAGGTGGCCCCCATCCACAACCAGCCCCTTCTGGTGAAGGAGGACGTGAAGTACACCCGCATTGCGGTGCACCAAGCCCAGGCGGCCTGCGGGGCGGCCTGCACCGTCCTGTTCCTGGGCACAGGTAGGGCGGGCTCCCTCCCCCCGGAAGGACAGAGTTGGAGGGGGGACCAGGGGTGTCAGGCTGGATTTCTCGGAGGGCCGGATTAGCACTGCCATGGGTCGAGGGGAGGGGGAGGAGGCGGGACAGGCGCCCCCTCGCCCTCCCTCTCTTTGGGCTGGCAGGGCGCTGCAGGAGGACACCCAGGCTGAGAACGGGGCCGGTCCTTTGCTATTTCCAGGCCAGACCTAAACCCGTTGCAGGCCGGCTGTGGC